AAAGATTATATCATATTATGTTGGTGTTTGAATAAGTAGAAAGTATCTGAAGACGTCTGTTTGTAATGATTTTAAAAAAAATTATTGCTTTGGTTTAAGATTGAAAAAAAAGAAAGCTATACTTTCGCAATAATTATCAATAAACGAGGTGATAAATTTTTATTTCGATCCTCTTACTCCAAAGATATCAATTTTGTACCTGATTACAATTTTAAAACGAAATATTAAAAAATTTTATAATAAAATCATATTACATTTTTTATTTTTATATTATATTAAATCATTAAATACCAATCGAGATTTATCGAGAACCTTCAAGTTTCCCTACGGAAATACTGCAGCAGGTATTCTCTTTTGCAATGCAACGTATATGCAATTGTAGTCAGTCATAAGAAAGCCGGCGAGATTGCACGTGTTGCCTCGTAACGACCGCCTTGGCATGGACTTATTTCACTATTTTATTAGATTAGACACTTATGGTCGTGCGACAGAGGAACAACTGTCGTCCAAAGGAATACATTAAGATGGAACGAGTTTGCCGTTTCTGGATACGTAAAGCAAATACATTGAGAAGGCGTCGTTGCATCTTTGATGCAACGTGTTACATCGATCGAATACCGGTACACGTATCTTTAATTAAAATTTTACTCGATTTTGTTTTCATTTTTCTCGTATAACTCGAGTATATATCTATTTATTCTTTTCATAAACTGTAACATAATAACATTTCAATTTTAGCAATTTCAAGAATCGCGAAAGAAAAATCGAAATTATTCAAATTGCAATATTTAATAATATTCATGGTCAAACAGTTACATTCAATATTCACATCCAATTCTCAAATCAAAAGTCCAAACTAACAAGTAACTATCTTACTATCTATCCAAGCAATAATAAAAGGATCGATCTTGGACACATTTCGAACTTCACATTTCACAGCTCGAGATCATTTGATCCGACATAATCGCGCAAACGACAGCAATTTCCACGATCCTTCGAGTCGATCCTTTCTCGTTATCTAGATTCTAGCGCGTTCTGTCGTAAAAATATCACCGGGTTTACACCCCTTTATCGAACTTTGTCCCTTCCGCGGTGGACTTTCGCACGTTTCGCCAATGTTAGCTACATACGTCCGCCAATCCTGGCCACACTCGGCCGCGTACGTGCCCGCCGACTTTCTCTCGAGCTTTCGCGCCCCTTCTCTCCTCCTGGCCATCCGTGTCGCGAGCACCGCGCCGCGTGTAAAATTCCAAACGCATTTTCCTTCAGGGACGTAGTTTAAACGTTGTACAATTGGTCACGTTTGGTCGCGGCGATCGGACTGCATCGAGTGCAGTGCGCTGCAACTGTGTCACACCATAGTTTACATAACGACAGTGGCTTCGAACTGTTTGCTCCGAGTTTAATGATATTTCAATTATTGTTCGGCGAGAATCCTGTTTTCGGCCGAGTGAAATAAATTTTTAACAGATTTTTTTAGAATAGTATCGAGGATTTTTCTCGAGTGCGGTGCAACTGTCAGACCATAGTTTGCGTAACGACAGTTGCCAACTATTAATGATGCTTAAATTATCGTTAGACGAGATCTGTTCCCAAGAACAGAATGAAATAATTTTTTAATGACAATCTTTGGAATGGTAGATTAGAAGATTTCGTTGCGAGGGAAATGTTAAATATGAATCAATATCTTCTTATCTCACGTAATACCTTCTATCTATTTAAAATTGCATGAAATTATTTTCTTTCGCTGAACTTTGCAACACCGCGTAAAAATCGTAATTAAAATCAACCTCTAAACGAAGTTATATTTTTCTAAATAAATACGCGTGACAAGAAATATATTCGATTTAATTAAATCTTCTGTCAAATTTTTTAATTCCTAAAATGAGATAAAATATAAATCTGCTAACTGTTTCAAAAATATATCTGTCATTTCTCTGTCAAGCCCCGCTTCATTATCGAGGATCCGGTCAACAATAGCGTATCGATAAACCATGAACGATTGCGCGCACCTCGTCCAAATATTCTCATTATGAAAATTTCCTTGTCGTCAAAATATTCTTCTCTAAAAAAGGACGACACGGATGTGAAAGTTGCTGGCTAATTGACAGATTTTCCGGGACGGACAACCGGCGTTGATTTTTCCCCGGATCGGCTAAAATATCACGACGTTAACGGCCGTTAATGAATGAAAATGAATGGGCAACGGGCGGAACGATGCTTCACCGGTGACACGGATCGCCACGTGATAACACCCTCGAGGATATTTTATGGACGGTGTGCACAGGGCTATTTGTATCGCGGCGACAAAACGGTAAATGCTCGAACGATTCGGTTCACTTTTCCTGGACACTCGGGTTCCAATGTTCTACTATTCATCATTTAATAATAAAAATTGGAAGACGATTTTCGGATTGAGATTAATCGGTGGAAATTATTAGGGCACGAGTATCGGTTACATTTACAGCTCTTTGATTTTTGAAACAACGATCGACGATGGAACGAGTAAATTTTGATTTAGGCGAGGCCTTGGGTTTTTATGATTGTACCTCGTAAATATCGCGTTATCCGATTTTATCTTAGAAATTAAGTACTCAGATTTGGTAAATTTTTCACGATGGCTCTTTTCGCGACGACAAAATTGGAATATTAGGTCAGAGAATATTGGCGAGCGCATTGACGGAAATAGCGCGGATGGAATCGAGGAGGATTCGTTTGAAACCAGATTTGGATGGAAGTATATCGATTTTCTATATAGTGGGGATGAAAATGAAAATGAAAATAATGGACGAGACGATAGAATTATTAAATTTTGATCCGTAAATAGTAATGATATACTTTAAAAACGAAGAAAGAAATTGAAGAAAAAATAAAAAAGAAATTGTTATTATATTTTTACTTTCTCAGACTTCATTGTTTTATCCATAGCTTTATCTTCGCCACAACTTGCCCGTAGACAATGCCGAGGAATAAAGCAGCAAGAATCGAAGTTTGAAAATACGAAATATCTCATTGGGATTCGTTACACAACAGCCAAAACATTGCCGGGGGCAAAGTTAGGAGTAATTAAACCAATAATCGGATGTCTGAGACTTTGGATCTTACCGAGATCCGAACAACATTGGTCTAATGTCTTGAATTCCCACTCCGTTAATTTCGTAGTTTTGTCTTTACCCGCATTACCCACTCACACAATGCGGCATTGTTCTACATTAGCAGTGAAAAGAAGAGAAAGGAGAAATATGTATATATTTCTTTTTTTTATCTCGCACGGAAATTATACGGTATCCGAATTATCGCGCACGTGATTACGCCGACGCCGACTTTTAAGACCGTGAAGAAGCCGAGGCGTGATCTTATTTGCGTAAATGAGAAAAGAGGATGAGTCGAAGGGTGGCGAGACCAAAGTAGCAGCGGCTCTTGGCCCGCGGCTGTTTTCCGCTCGACGCGCCTCTTAACGTTTTAAATTCTTGTCTACGCGGAGGATTCTTGTAAACAGGCGATGCATTATGCAGCGCAAACAGGGTTACCCTTAAATTTCGCAAACGCGACGACGAGTTCACAGCGAGTTGCTCCGGACTAAGGATTTCTGGATTCTTACTGGTAGGCAGATATCTCGACAAGAAAAAAAAAAAGAAAAAAAGAAAAAGAAAAAAGAGAAAAGAGAAAAAAGGAGACAAAAAAAACGAGGGCAGAGCAATTTGCGAAAAAGAGAGGAATAAAAGGGTAAGGTGTAGGGGATTATTAAAATTCCTCGAGTTTTTGAATCTTGACCGTGAAATGTGAATCAACATTCAACCAACCCAACCCCTCGCTATATTTCTAAGCGTTCTACTTTCTAAAGGAAGCTTTGCACTTACAGACCATTCGTTTTGTCAAATAAAAAACGAATGGTTCAAGCTTGCCAACTATATAAAAACGAGAGGAAGATTTGCTTTCGTAACTTTCTACGCTCTAAATACACGATTACTTTGAAGCTACGAGAGTTTTAGCTTCTTCGCGAGGAATTAGGTGGAGATTTTTAAAAGCGCTCGATAAGCTCGCGCGCCTCTTAACATCCTTTCTCTCCGCTCAAACGTTCGACAGGGATTTTTCAAGGGAACTTTGAATATTTTTGAAACGATCGAAGCATGGAGACGCGTATTTTCTTTCAGTTGCGCAAACTCGAGTTCAACACTCGAACAACTAACCTCCCTCCCCTCCTCTTTGCACTTTCTTTTCTTTAAACTCGAGCCAAGTGGATGGCGCCAACCAAGGAGACAAGAAAGAAAGAAAGAAAGAAAGAAGAACTCTTTCTTGCTCCTCGCTATATCAGTTTCAAAGCGACGGCAAAGTTTCGTCAAAAATCGAATGTCAAACGTTTCACGATTAACCTTTTCGCCTGCGCGAACGAGATAGTTCTATTCGATTCTAGCGATAGACAAAGACATCCTCTCTCAACGAGAATACTCTCTTGCGAAATATCGTGAAACGAATTTATTTCTATTTCTTTACTTTACCTTAATTTCATTCATCGATACTCATCCCACCCACGGCAAGATGCCTCGTTCACACACCGCATCGTCCATCGTCTCATCCTATGTGGCAAAAGGTTTAACTGGCCGCGAACCAAACCAATCCCCTCTTTCCCTCTATGCGTTTCAATCGATCTAGCAGCCACGCCGCCGTGCACGCGGTTTCTGTGCACAAGTGCAGAATATCGCGTGGCAAAGAGCGGCTCGAGGGCCGCGGCCAAAATTGCCGCGGAGGGGAGGGAGGGGTGGGGGTTGAGGTTGAGGAGAGGGTGTGCGCGTGAGGTTTGCGTGCGCGTTTGCGTGCGTAGAAAATCGGGGGAAGGGTGAGGAGTGGGGGAGAACACAGAGAGAGAGCGATAATAATAATAATAATAATAATAATAATACTAATAATAATAATAATAATAACAAACAACAACGCGATTATACAAAGAACGAAAGAAAGAGCGGGAGAGGGAGGGCCAGATGAGAGAATGCAAGCCTCACCTGTGCTCTGCCCGCCACGTAGCTTCTGCTCTGGCCTCTCGACCCTCTCCTCGCTCGGGGGAGGCGGCCTCTCTGTCCTTTTCGTATAGTACGGGTTGTACGAGGATGGCCACACGGTGGTCGGCCTTTTTGCTGGTGACGGCGTGCTCGGTCGTCCTGAAAATAGATTAGGACCTTTCTCATCTAACCCAGCCAACTCTCTTCCTCCTCCCCCTCTTCCTTGCTTTCCCCTTCACCAACACCGTTTCTATATTACTTACTCTCCTCCCTTTCCTTCTATTACTCCGTCCTCTCTTTCTTTCTCCCCTCCTCTCTCTCCTTTCTCTCTCTCTC